TATATATTTACAGTAGTGTTATAGTTTTAGAACATTATTTGTATGGTCCTAAAACCTGTTCCATTTATAAAAATTTTACTTGTCATAAACAATCTGACAATACTGAGTATAGTGAAACTGAATATACCGAAGCTAAATTGAAAAAAATACGCTGAATTTTAATCACGGGTAGATCGTGTTCTTTACGAGAGCTTTTCACAGAGATGATACAAACAATGTGAGATACTTTAATTATACAGCTAGAGTTAATTTGAAAGTATTAAATTATTACAGGTAATTAAATTCTTATTGCTCGGTACTATTATCACTCTTAAATTACGTACATAATATGCACGCTAACAAAATAAAACGGGAAAGTAAATTTATTAAAAAAAAAAAAAAAGAAAAAAGAAATCACGTATGTACATTCGTTTACATACAAACATTCGGCATTACGTTTGACTTAACTTAGGTCAAAAATTAATATATTTTATAATTAGGGTATGAGTTTACATGGTCCACAAACTGCTTTACCTTTGCAACTTTTAAATGAATTAGTAATCTTCACGTTGGATACCCTTCCAAACACAATAGAAATAAATATACCTCTTCTTTTGTAACAATATATCGGCGAATGATGGCGTCCGTGTACTAATCTGCTGAGTCTTTCATAAGACTATAAATGTTAATATTTGTTTTTTCATCCACATCTGTATTTTTTAATCCATATTTTATTTCCATCCATATTACATATTATACATATATTTACATATAGACTTGGAAAATAAATACTAAACGTTCGCATTTTCAGCAATACGACAATAAAATCTTTCATATCAATGCAAATGTTGCATTTCGACTTCATAGAATACTGAGTATTAAGCGAGTAATGATTTTCTTGGTTGACAAGGTCAGTAGAACCTAATATTTCGTTTTTATACAATTTTAGTATTAGGAATGTTAACCACTGATATATTTCGACGTATTTTAGATTCAAGTAGTGTAAGTTTCTATTAGTCACCTATGTTTTTTTTAGAATCTGCATTACTTATTTAATATCCTGTATTCGTGAACATTTTTTCCAAGGCACTAATATAACATTCAGTAATCTCATTAGTAAAATATCGTTATTTACATCTGTGAAAAAATAGTTGGAATTGACTGTAAAGTGTAATAGGTAAAAACAATAACGTGATATTGCCAACACAGTGACTACAATGCTAAAATGGAAATAAAAACCCATTAATTACATTTGTAACTTTTACAAGTAAGTAACGGTTCTATAGCGTCTAATTTTGCAAACAATCATTTAATATATTAAAAAATGCACGAAATTATTAGGAACATTTTCACTATATGTAATACTTTCAACAGTTATAAACTGTTAAATATATCTCTTTCCTTTTTGTCTTATTTTTTTGTATTTTTATCTTTTTATCTATAGTTTATTCTAATTAAAATATTCTCTAAATTTTCTTCAAATACATCCAACAGTATCTGACACTGTGGGCAGAAAATCATGAGCTACGAGTAAAAACTATTTATGGTCTAACTCAACAAACTGGGAACCGTTTCATTCTAGCCATTAACGGCTGCAGCTAGTTTAGGCAGCTCTAGCAGAGTAGAATCATTCATTACAATGTGGTACGAATGTGAGATCTTTTCTTTCTCATGAATTGCTAGGCGCTGCCATTTTTCTTCCAATCTGTTCATCAAATCTTCCCTTCGCATTAAAGCGTCCTTGATCGTAGATTGTTCATCTTCGTCCACCCATTTCTTCCACATGGCTTTTGCATCGTCACTAAAATAATATATACAAAAACAAAGATTATTAAAGATTAATAGAAAATTACAATAAAATAATTCTAATATTTTTCATCATTCTTATGATCCAGGATTACTTATAACTCGACTTCCCAATTCTTTTTTATTATGTTTTCATTCATCTACCCTTATACCATTCGCGTCTTTATCGTTAGAGACTCCATCGTAGACTACCTATTTGCGATCTATCGAGGGTCGAATGTACGGCGTATGGGATGACGAACGCTTTGGTACGTATTTACGAAACACTCGACGAATGTAAGCGGTTAGTGTACATCGAGAGATAAAGAGAGAGCGAGAGAAAGAGACGCGAATGAGACACGGCTTTCGGTTGCAACTTTGACGAATTTCGACGAATTCGAGAGATGCTATTTGTCGTCTTAGACCCTTAACATCGTTCACGGTCACATACCGATATTGTAACAAATCTGGTCATCAGATGAACATTAAAGGAACTTACAATACATTTGCAGATAAGTATTTTCGAGTTCTATTCGTACATATATAATTTTATGTATATTATAGTCGAATCATCTCGTTCGTCAGCAACGGTCATGAAATAACATTTCCAACAATCAAATGAAACTACTATTGTAATTTGATAAAATTTACCTGTACATTGTTGAATCCGTACAGACTTTTTCTCGTTGAAGAAGTTCCGCTTCCCTCTTATCGATGTTGTCGAATCCACACCTTCTCGATTCTTCGTCCAAATCGATGTTCTCCGTATGATACATCCTCTTTTCGCGAATTAGTTCCAGCCTGTTCTTCATGTCCCTCAACCGTAGAGCCTCGTCCCAACAGTGCTTGTTGCACGCCTGCGTCTCTTTCTTCTGGATATCCTCGATCTTAGATTTCAGTTCCGTGTGGGTCAAGTAAAGGAACATCTGCCTCGAGAGATTCTTGTCCTCGGGAATCATTCGCAACCAGGGCATGGTTTTCTCAACTTCGAACTCCTGAGTATCCTTCTTTTCTGTGTTTTGATCTCTGTCGTTATTATATTTGTTTATCGAGCTTTCTATCTCATATGTATCCACACTATCTTGATCAATTTTTTGATCGGAAATATCATCCTGTTCAGCGAGATTCTTGGGTTGTTCGTCTTTCGGACTGACTGGACTACTTCCGCTTAATGTGTCGTTTTTAAAATCGTTTTCCACCATATCTAGTTCTGTTGCGGTCTCTTTATCATCTACACTAGGAGGAGCTTCTTTATTTGGCGAACCAGAATCAGCAGACGAACTATTTGATGGATTGTCGTCAGATTCGTTAGTTCTCATGTTAGTATTTTCTAAACTTTGATGAGCATAACGAGCCGAATACTTGGAAACAGGCCTTCCAGGTTCGTGGTACGAATATCCTGGATACGGAGGATAGCGCAGAGGTTTCGGTTCCTTTTGCGCAATTTCTTCTTCCTGAGGGATCTTATCGCTATTTTCGCTCATTTTTAAGCCTCTACGATGAAAATTTTAGTCACTTGAACGAACATTTATCGAATCTCCGTAAGCACGAAAGTACTGAAGATTAGTACCTCTAAGAGTGTCCCAGCTTGTACTGATTGACTCTCTCGATATCGTCCCAACCTTTAAACACGAGACAAGCTTCTGTTGATGATCTCTTGACAATATTTCGAATCTGATTAGAAAAAGACAAAATTTAATCAATCATCGGATACGAAATATCAAATTAAACAGCAACAAAAATTGTTGAAAGAAGAAAAAAAGAAGTATAAACATCCTCAGAAAGAAGTTGATAAAATGGCAATGTTAATATCAGAAAGTGAAGATGACGATAAGAATGAAGAGGAAGAGGAGGAAGAAAAAGAAACGGAATCAGAAGAATCAGAATCTAAGGAATCTGAAAATAAAGATGAATTTCTAGAAAGTCAACGAAATACTTTACAGGTGATACAAATTGTTATACGACGTGTCAAATAAGAATCTCTTAATTGTACATATATTTTGACACAAACAAGCCCCTCCGCCCCCCAAAAAAACGCGGACAAAGTTTAGCTGCAATTGTGCCCCTTAAAGCATAAGTCGACAGATTGAAAAATGATTTAGTAAGACAACGGGGAAATAATCTCACTCTCCGGGAAGATCTTGACTACGTGTTAGCAGAGTTAAGTTAATGTAAAAAAAGCATGTCTAAGAATGATTATGAATAATTGTATACATACACATATAATTATTACATCTGGAAATATAGAAAATATTATGTTTGAAAAACCAAAAGCAACTATTATACGCATACTCACTTATCGCCTAACGTTTTTTGTAGAAAATTATACAAATACAATTTTTGTTCAATCAACTGCAAAGTACAGAGCTATTATGTTGTTGTACCGATTATTAAACGCACCGATTATTATAAAACGCGATAATTTATTTTCTTTAGTATCTATGGCAAATATCTTATGTACGCGTGACGATACTTACGCTGTCCTTACTCGAAATGGTGTAACGGACCGGAGATAAAATATCAAACCGTATCTATTGATCGAAACAAAAGACGCAATGCCTGTCGCGCATGTCATGTTATGTGTGTTCTATATAACACATCTATACACATCTATCGTAATGTTTCCCATGAACGCCGGAAATGTTTATATGAGATTAGGAATATTGCTCTTTTGCTACTTTGTTGTTAAATATTTTTTAATAAAGACGACTATTACACGATCATCAAGTTTCTATACAGTTTCTAAAAAATGAATACAATACTTACATGCTTGCACTTGAAATCAATCAACGAGCAGGTTATTTCCAGAATGTACAAGC